ATTGCAGCCATCAATATTGACCGATACCAATATCAATCTGATACAATATCAGCACAAATCATACATACTTTTACCTATTTCACAGTGTGGAATGTATGAAAGGCTTGATCAGGTGATATTACTCGATCAGAGAACAAGAGCCAATAACAGTAAGTATGAAAAAAATGACAATGTTTTCTTAACCATTGGTTGTATAAAATGTGAACCTTAACGAACTGCTTATATAAGAGATTTTTTATGCTGCCCGATAAAATCCGATACACTGTTTTTGGGCTGATATACAATTACTTCCTATATAGGAGCGATATAGGTCCCTAAAATTAATGATATATATATATATATATATATATATATATATATATATATACACACACACACACACAATTTAGGGAATAAAAATATTTACAAAAATTGAGACATAATAATTAACAATTTTTTCTCTTCTGGCACTCGCAGAGTACAGACGCTTCTGCTTTCGCTCCCTTATCTTTTTTCCCAAGGCTCTTTCGTCCTGTCTGCTTACAGAGCGCTTCTCTGCATTTCTTCTGGAAATCCCTATTTTTTAGAAATGGATTTAATTAATTGGTCATTCAATGCGATTGACAAGATCTATTCTACGATGAAACGGAGGAGGGGGCTCCCACTTGCCCTCAAGGGACACACGCAGCGAGATATGCGCTCGATTCCTGGAAGGTCTGGAGGATCGTATGCCTCTCTCAGCTGTCCATTGAGGATGTCGAAGACATGTGGATATTTGGCTGGATGATCACTGGATTTCTTCTGATCGGAGTGGGAGGATATCTGGTTTTCCGGAGATTTGGGAAGTCAGGAGCGATTGGAGTGCGACCCGCACCCACGGAAAGCACCGCCCGGGTGGTGACCTTACAGACTGGGACGTTACTCAAGGTGAATCGTAAGCTGGACAATGTCCTTGCTGCGTTACCGGTATTAGTGCGCAAAATGAATGTCATCTCAGAGAGGGTCACTGGACGGTGTGGAGATGTTTAAAACCTGAACTGGCTTCACTGGGGGACTTGAATGATCAATACAGACTTCAAGGCAGAGAGGAAAATTATCTCTGCCTGACCCAAACAAAGTCTTGTTATCCAAATCTGACGCCAAGGCAGCCTTGAGCTGCTAACAACAACCCCCACGATGGAAGGAGTGCAGACAGATGCTGTGAAAGCCGGGAAATATTGGGGCAGATGCACATAATGTAATATCATCTGCATAAATATCCACGGTAGCATGGTCCAACACCAGAGGCAAATCATTTATAAAAACTGAAATAACAAAGGGCCCAAGCAATCGCCCTGAGGTACTCCACAACACATTGTTTCAGCCTAAGAATGTCACGACGTGCCGGTGAGTGGAACGGAGGTGAGGATCCACATGCTGGTGAGGAATCAGGCAGGTAGACAAACTGGGTAACGTAAAAGGTTTTAATAACAAATCCACACAGGACATGAGAACAATGAGCCAACAAGAGACACAGAACTGGAGGGGTTTAAATACAAGAGGGCTGGGAGCTTGGGTGATTGGAAAACGAGAGGCAGGTGAGAGCAATTAACAGAGACACAGGCTGAACCAAATGGGGAGGCAGGACAGGGTGAGACAAAGAACAGCTACCACTAAAGTACACTGTACAGTCCCGGTTACATAGATAGCTGTCAACCAGTTTCACAAAAGGGTCAAAACCGTCACAACATAACGTTTTAAAACAATATTATTATATAAACAGTTGAAATGTTTGCTAGTGATTGTTCAGCTTCCTTTCACCAGTCTATGTTACTACTGACAAAAATAAAAGGTTAATTTTTAGAGATAACAGATGTAAAAACTAGAGACTGACCGATACCTGCCACCTGTGTGGCCAACTGCCACCACTACTAGACTGAAAAAAGGACCCGAAGAACCCAAACACACAGTTTTTTTTAATGTTTTGAGTTTGTTTTATACTTATAGATCAATAAATATTAAGAGATTTATTGACTTATTTAATTTCTATTGCACACAGTGAGTGTTCAGATTTCTTTCACAATCAATGTGCTGCTAAAACGTATATATCGGCCTAATAATCTGCTTTAGATATCGGCCATCGGCAACAAAATTCGTTAAAAATTGGTATTGGTCTTAAAAAACCCATATTAGTCGGCCTTAAGTAAAAACAACCAAATTTTAAAAATCAATGTGTGTGTTCTTGTTGCTACGTGTTGACTCCTAAATCAGGATCAAATCTGTGTTTTAGTGTCAATCAAAACTAAATTAATGACATTAATGAAAAAAACTTGATCCCAACAAATAAACAACTAAAACTTAATCAAATGTTTGGAGCAGCACAGATGTGCTAGTCTGAGCTAGCTGCTGGACATCAGAAACACGCCTGAAGGATGCGGACAGCGGAGGGGAAATTGTCTGACTATTAGTCTGGTAATGACACACTACTCAGCAAACAACCTAATTTATACACAAAACTAACCAGCCCGGCTAAACCTACAGAGTTTGATTATAATTTGACTCAAATGGACTAAATGAAATTTACTTGAAACTTTACTTCTTTTTTTCTGTTTATATTTCTCTGAGATAAAATTTGCTGTGAATTAACATCATTGATGTGTTTCAAGTGAAAAAACTCAGAAATCTGAATTTAATGTAAAAAACCCCCATGGAGCAGCAGAGGGTTGGTCCTGAATCCAGCTCCAGACAAACAGGAACCACCCGAAACCACATCCACGGGAATCAGATCAGACATGAGGAGAGGAGTCCACTTCCTTTTGTTCAGACTTGATGGATCCTCCTCCAGCAGAGTCAAGCAGCCACACCCCGCCTCCCATCTGCTGGAGGATGAGACCTTCGGCTTTTGAGTCCTGACCAAGTCCTCCAAACACACCCACATCACCCCGCTTCTCCTCCAGCTTCACTGGCTGCCAGTCTACTTCAGGGTTCATTTCAAGATCCTGGTTCTGGTCTATAGGGCCTTACATGGACACGCACCATCTTACATTGGTGATCTTCTTAGTCCCTACACCCCCAGCAGGTCCCTGAGGTCCAGTGATCAAAGCCTACTGGTTGTGCAGCACCAGGCTAAAGACCAAAGGTGACAGATCATTTGCTGCTGTGGCCCCCAGACTCTGGAACTCTCTCCCCCTGAGCCTGAGATCAGTGGACTCAGAGGTCTCCTTTAACTCATTAACTGCCAATGATGACGAAAGTCATCATTTGCATGGTTTTTTACCGTGTGGGCGTCAGGACGAGCCCCCACACCATGTGAACAAACATCCCAGCTCTAAAGCCAATCTTCATCCGCGTATGTCACGTGATCAGGAAGCAGAAAATCCAGGTGTAAGGAGATCGTTTTGGGCCGCTTCTGTAAAAAAAAGTGAGGCGCCAACCGGAAAAGCGTCTGCTGATCACAATTTGACAAAGGATTATGACAGAACGGATAACGCTCGAAACGCGCAGATTCTTCCTGATGTAAGAGGTGAGTCTACTCTTTGTTTTGTTAGTTTTGGCGTCAACATCATCATAGCACGCAACGTTCTGTGACTCTTAAAAAAAACAGTAATAACGCTGAAAAACGCTGGCAGTGAAGGGCTTTACTGATCAGAAAACGTCTGGCAGCGAATGAGTTAAGCAGCAGCTGAAAACTCACCTGTTCAACTTGGCTTTGGTGTGACCTTTATCACATCTCCTTATTCTGTTCTTTCTACCAATTCCATCTTTCCTGAGATCCACTAATTACCTCTTTATTATTCATTTTCTTGTTCCCTTACATTTTTTTATCACAATTAGTTTTACTTTTCCCAGTTTTACAATATTAAAACATGATTAAAACTCTCTTTTATATATTTTTATTTTTTGTTTCTGTTCTTGTGAAGCACCTCCTGATTTTAATCTTGAGGGGTGCTTCTTCTTCTACCTCAACATCAGCACCACCTGACCACCACCTCAACACCACCTGAACACCAGCACCACCAAACAAATCCTTCAAATAAACACAAACCAAGCCGAACCCCGTTACAAACTGGATCCTCCGGAGATGTTTGGGGGGTGTGGGTGTCGGTTCTGATCAAGGTGTTGCGAAAAGAGCCACTGCATCCGTAGACTGAAATAAAGCCGCATATCGCATAACTACTGGGCCGGTAGCAAACAGGGAGTGGACCCTCAGCAGATTCTTTTGTTGTGACTAATCTGGGTGCGCCGTGTCGTGCTAACGGATCGTGCTTCCATTATCGGACAGCATCACCTCTGTTCCCATTAATCAAATTATTGTTTCTTTTTTTTTGTCATCTATTTTAAAAGATGAAATGAGTGAATTTAAATTAGCTTGAGGTTATATAAATGTGGCTATTACATGACACTGACAGGATGTTGGCAGAAATCCTGTCGCCTTAACGAACAACAGATCGCATGTTTATCCTGGTATTAAGTGTTTATTTGCGTAAAACGTGACCTAAACACATCATTTTTGCGCGTCTTTGTTGTTGAATAGCACGCAAAGCTCATGTCCGATAACGGAACTGGAGCATGCGGTACCGTTAGCAGCATCGCAGCGGGCGGAAACACCGACGTCACACACATTCTGTCTCTTTTTTAAGCACCTTTTCTCATCTGTGGTGAGATAACGAACCGGGCTGTTACCGGATCGGTTAACGCTTTTAAACACGTCACCATACCCGGTCAACAGCTCCCGGTGGTCCAAACCAAACAGGTGGGCCGCATCATACATGCGGAGATTTCCGTTAAAAACGTGAAGACGTTTTACAACCAAACGCCACCCGCAGAGATTTTACCCACAGAACAAAAACAAAAAAGTGTTAAATAGCAGCCCGGTTCAGAGGAGCACCACTAACCGGCGGATCACCGATCAACCGTTACCGGGATCCCACCAATCTCCTCAAAACTAGCATGGCTGCGGTTTCATAAACGGTTCGGATCAGATCTAGCTTTGTTTTACTGATCTGATCTAAGATCCATACATCTTCCGGTCAGATACTCACACGACGCCGGAGCCGCTGGTTCCTGTGTCACCGTGGGTTGGTCGGATGCTTCTGCGGGGGCTGGCGATGCTTTCCGGGCTACAGCCGCTAGGAGGGCGTCGCTCTCGGGGTCAGGTTCCGCCTGTGGCTCCGGGAGTATACGGGTACTCTCCGGTTCGGCTTTGGGGGCCAGCACTTCAGGTTTTTCAGGAACAAACGAGAAGCTGGAGTCTGGGACTGCCCTCTCTACAACGGGCTCCGGTGCGGGTTCCGGTTCAGGTTCCCTCACTTCTGGCTCCGTGGAAGTTAAACTAAACTCCTGCAGGACTGAGTCTTCAGCTATGTGCCGCTCCAACGCGTCCTGAGCCCCACCGACCAAGTCCACTATGTCATCCGCGCTGAAGAGGTTCTGCTTTGGCTCGAGGTCCGGTTCTGGGTCTGGATCGGCCTGGTAATGGTGCCCCTCAGGAAACAGAGGAGTGGTGGAAGAAATGAGTTGCTCCTCGTCTGCCATGTTTCTTTTTTTCTCTCTCTCTCAAAAAGTGTCTCCTGGCGTAGAAAAAGTTCCAGGTCTTGTCGTTTTCCACCCAAGTTACTTTCTGATCAGAACACCTACCGGGAAACGTTTAGAACCCGTCCCGCACCGGCTGGTCCCTGTGGTACTTCTATTTTCACCGTACAGACGTGAATGCGCCACACTACAGGTACCACGACGTCGAACCCGAGTTTCAGACAACAAGAAAAGAGAAGTCGACTGACCAATCACATGCAGCGTGACCCAGAAGCAACACGACCTCTGGCCAATCAGAGATGTCAAAGTGGGAGGGGCGTAACCTAACGCCTCTTCTATTAAACCAGGCTAAAGTTTTGGGGGACTGTCTAGTACAGTCACTGCTGGGAGCTGGAAGAAAGTTGAGGCGTTGGAACTGTAGGAACGGAAAACTTTTTTCTCTTAAAGACTGTACTAATCTTTCCATCGCTGGTAATCCAGTAAAAGACCCTATCACCTATCTTGGTATTGTTATTAAATAAAAATCAGTCCTTAAGATGCTCTCTTAATTTCACTCCAATACTACACAAAATAGATTGGCTCCAGCGGGGCTTATCTATCAAAGAAAGAGTTCTGCTAACTAAAGGGGGGGGGGGGGGGGGGGGGTGTCTCGTTTAATCTACTAATCTACGCAGCTCAATCTTTAGAAGTAAATAAAGAATCCTTAACAGCTGTTGATAAACTGCAATTTTGCATGGAAGAATAGAATTCATTACATTAAGAAATCAGTTCTTTCTAACTCCTTTTCGAACAGTAGTGTGAACTTTTTAGACTTCTCAACACTGAATAATGTATTCAAAATAAATTGGATCAAACAATTTTTCAAAAACCCAAACTCAGTTTGGAATTTTATACCTAATTTTATATTTTCTAAACGCAGTGGTCTTAAATTTGTTCTGTTATGTAACATTAATGTTGATTAAATACCTCTCAAACTGTCAAATTTCCATAAACAAATGCTTCTGTCCTGGTCCCTCCTTCACAAACATAACTTCTCCCCACACAGGTGTTATATTGGTTTGATCGTGGTATTTATCTTGTTACACAGCTTCTTGACTCAGAATAAAGTAATTAACTCCCTTTCACTGACTTCCTAAATTTATATGGTTTACCTGTTCCATCAAAGGAATATGCCATGGTGTTTGATGCAATTCCTGCTGGAGTTTTAATGCTTCTCAAAGGCTCAGTGGTCAGGGACTCGGCCGCACTGCCACTGGAGCCAGCCGTCACCTCTGTGGGCAGGATCTGTTTTTTGAGGATGAAGAAAAATAACAACCGTGATATAAGGTCTCTGTTTCTAAAGGATAAGACTCATACTCCTAATGCTATTGTATACTGGAACAACTAGTTTTATGACTGGGAAAAGATTTGGACTCTACCATCTAAGTTTCTGTTGACAAACAAAGTAAAAGAGGTTTCTTTCAAGATTATTCATCGTTTCTAACCTACAAAATCTTTTCTGAAGAGATACAAAAAGGATATTGATGTAAGCTGTTCATTTTGTAACCTCCAAGTCGAAGATGCTCTACATATTTTCTGGTCTTGTCCGTTCTCCAGCAAGTTCTGGCAAGAGTTTAATATTTTTGTAATAACATATTTTATTGAGGACTTTTTGCTTTCTTTGGATAATTTGATATTTGGTTTCTATAACTACCCGAAGAATAAATCAGACCAATTATATATACCCAACTTATTAATATTGTTGGCTAAATTTCATTTTCACAAGACTAAATTTTGTAATGCAAAACCTTGTTTTCAGCAATTTTTCTGTGAAACTAAACAGTATCTATTATCCATTCAACATTCCCACAATGCAAAAGCTATCAAAACAGTGAATATATGCTCCTCTTTTTGGCTTATGTAAAGCTTATCTCAGCTAGCTGTTTGTGTTGGGAACTCCTGATACTGTGTGTTGTTATATGTATGTTCTTTTTGATATTATTTGTAACTATTGTAACGTTCTAACTCCAAATAAAGATTTGTTGAAAAAAAAACTGTAGGAATGGAAACGAGTATTTACACTCACATAGGAGGCTGTTTTTTAATATTTGACCATACAACTGTATTTCAGAGAGAAACATTCAACTAAAGGGAAACAAATCCAGCACCTGTTGCACCTTCAAATCATCGCTTCAAACATGTTCTGCATCCAGGGTTCGAATTACTGGGGAGGTAAGGGGAGCTCGGCTCACCCAAAAGTTTTGGCGCCACAAAAAATATATATTTAACACGCAATCATTCATGTTCGCTCATATTCTCTGGAGCTCATCACCCCGTGCTCCAGTTATTTCGCCTCACTGGCATGGCCACTCAGTGCATGCTCCACTATTTTTGCGGTCGGTATCCCTTTGATCTGCTTTATTCATAAGTAACTCATGGGGTGAAAATATTGGAAGGACTGAGAAGAGATGCAGGAAGATCAGAGACAGACAGGACAGGAACATGGTCAAATAAAAAGAAGACTGTTACCCCGGGTTTCCACGGGAGCCGTCAGCAGCACGTTACTGCAGCAGCACGTCTTGCTCGCGTAAGCTGCTGCTTGTCCCTTCCCATGAGACGTGAAGCAGCAGGGGAGCAACTGTCACCGACCGAGCACGAAGTCACACGAGTGACTTCGTCAGTAAACACAACAACAAGCAGGAGAAAACTACAACATGGCTCCAAAAGGTTTGTGTTTTATGTTCTGTCCGTTTTATAATCGCCAATACGGACCTGAAAAACAAAGGAGGCCGCTAGCTAGGTGATAACTTCTCACGGGGCCGCACATTTAGTAACTGTTTTTAAAAGTAAAGCAACCGGAAGGCAGTACGTTCTTTATTCTGAAAATCTCGGGAGCTTCTCTCCATTTCCGCGTCAGATTTCCTGTCTTTCCTTCCCCAAAAATGTCGAACTTGACCCGTTTCAGAGGCGTCGCGCGTAGAAAATAGAACCGGCGCGTAAAAGCCGCAACATGCTGCTCCTGAGACGCGGCCGACTAGCGCTGCTGACGGCTCTGGTGGAAAAGGTTCTGTTGACCACAGCGGTTCCTATCAGCAGCTATGACGTGCTGCTGCAGTAACGTGTTGCTGACGGCTCCTGTGGAAAGCCGGGGTCAGGAGCAGCATGTCGCGGCCCCGTGAGAAGTTATCACCTAGATAGCGGTCTCCTTTGTTTTTCAGGTCCGTATTGGCGATTATAAAACGGACAGAACATAAAACACAAACCTTTTGGAGCCATGTTGTAGTTTTCTCCTGCTTGTTGTTGTGTTTACTGACGAAGTCACTCGTGTGACTTCATGCTCTGTCGGTGACAGCTGCTCCCCTGCTGCTTCGCGTCTCGTGGGAAGGGCCAAGCAGCAGTTTGCGCGAGCAAGACGTGCTGCTGCAGTAACGTGCTGCTGACGGCTCCCGTGGAAAGCCGGGGTTACACTGTCCTGTCTCCCCATTCTGTTCAGTCCTGTCTCCATGTTAATTGCTCCCACCTGCCTCGTCTCTCAATCACCCAAGGTCCCAGCTCCTCCTGTATTTAAACCCTGTCAGTCCTTTTTGTCTTGTCGAATCATTGTTTCTATGTCCAGCGTGTTCTTAATTAAAACCTTGTTAAACCGTTCCTGTCTGTCTGTCTGCCTGCCTGCCTTCTTCACTTGCGTTTGGATCCTCACCTCTGCTCACCTCACCTGCGCATGTCATGACCAAAGGATCCAGCGATGAAGTTGCTCCACCATCTCGCCGCAGATGCCGCCGTCGAACCTCGGCCTCGGCAATCCCCTCCACCCTCCCGGAGCCAGATGGGAGGTTGGGCTGCGAGCCGCAGCTGGACCGCTCCGGCTTTGTGGGCACCAGACTGGCTGTATGCTCCCCTGGAGTTGGTCCCCGGCACTGGGAGGTAACCCAGGCCCCGCCGTCACCACCAGCCGAGGAGCTTCCCTGCGGGCGCACCACGGCTCCGGCTGACATCACCCCCGGCTGCACGGTCTCCTCCCACTCCAGGGGGGCCATGAGAGGGACCAAACCTCCTGTCCACCCAGTGGAGTTTGCCCTTCTCCAGGCTGAGCTGGTCAAGCTGAAACATCTCATCAGCCTTCAGAAGTTCCAGCTGGACACTCTATCCTCCCTAGTTCTCCAGAAGGCGGTACTCAAGTCAGCGCCACCAGTCCAGTCAGCGGTACTGCCACCAGTCCAGTCAGCGGCACCGCCCCCAGCCCAGCCTGTCCAAGAGGCTTTGCCCCTGGCCCAGCCTGTTCAAGAGGCTCCGCCCCCGGCCCAGCCTGTCCAAGAGGCTCTGCCTGCAGCGGCTCTCCCTCCAGTCAGCGTCAAGTCCAGCGCTTCCAGTCAAGTCGGTGGCCCCTCCTGCCTCCTGCAGTGGCTCTGCCTCCAGTCAAGTCGACAGCCCCTCCTGCAGCGGCTCTGCCTCCCCTCAACTCTGTGCCTCCTGTACCTCCCCTCCAGACGGCGCCTCCCCTCCAGTCGGCGCATCCCCAAGCCAAGTCAGAGGCTCTGCCTCCCCTCAAGTTGGCGCCTCCAGTCACTGCCAGCCGTCCTCGCCTGCCGCCTCCTGTGCCCCAGACGCTGGCCCCCCCAGACTCCGGAGCCACTTCCTGTGCCCCAGACGCTAACCCCCTAGACGTCGGCACTGCCTCCTGTGCCCCAGACGCCGGTCCCCCAGACTCCTTCTTGGCCTGTGTTGGGCGTCTAGTGCCGCCCTTTAGGGCACTCTGTTCTGTCTCCATATTAATTGCTCCCACCTGCCTCTTGTCTCACAATCACCCACGGTCCCAGCTCCTCCTGTATTTAAACCCTGTTAGTCCTTTTTGTCTTGTCGGATCATTGTTTCTATGTCCAGCGTGTTCTTAATTAAAACCTTGTTAAACCGTTCCTGTCTGTCTGCCTTCCTTCACCTGCATTTGGATCCTCACCTCCACTCACCTCACCTGCGCACATCGTGACAAAGACAAAACAAAGGGTTTGAAAACGAAAATGCCTGTAGATTTAACCAATTTCACCTTATTAACTGTATAAAGCAATAATTTCTAAGCATGTAATATTTATAATCCATTTCTTGTTCTTTTCTTGCACGGTTTTGTAAAAAATTATTTACCTGACATGTTTCAGCTAGTATATCTAGCCATCATCAGATCACTGGTGTTGGTGGCCTTACTTCCACGGGACAGTGTCACCAGCAAGGAGGACGCGGGCAGTAGAGGGCAACAC